GGACATCATCGACAAGCTCTAAAGAACAATACCACAAGCTCTGACCAAAGCACCAGATGCCCAAGAAGGCTGGTGCTAAAAATTCAACGAGATTCAGATTCCGGTTCGAGCTGCGGTCGACGACGGGCCTTAGTAAGTTCCTGTTCCTGAATGATGAATCCTGAGTTACCGTGAGCTCATGCCAGCAAAGAAGGAAATGAAATTGAGAGAAACATGATGAAGACTTCAACTAAATAACTATTGCTGAATGCTGAGTCCAGGTGTTACAAGCGGTCAACGTGCGACTTCTTCTTCAATCTTCACCTACAACCCGCGACCACCACCACCTGAGTTACCGAGTCTACATCTTAAATTTTAATTTTGAAACTCGAGTTTACTGTTGAATTTAAGAAACCTAAGAATAAATCAATAGCGCGACATTGTAAAATGTAAAGCGTAAACTTCGAGAACGTTGCGGCCCACAAGTCACAACCACATTCCAAACAATCAAGCGTTCAATCCTTGAATACACAAACTCGTCCTGTCACCAATCAGGATTGGAATTTTTCTATTTGTTTCTGAAATCTCGCGGCTTCAACATGACGAATTTTCAATACATTTGGAATCTCGCGTCTCGATATTGCACTTTTGTTAACATTTGGATAGGAGGTAATTCATCTGACGGAAATCTCGCGGTTTCAGAAATGGCGGGAAACCTCTAGTTGCGGCCCTAAAGGCAGATGTTTTCAATGCTTGTCACCAATTATATCACCCACGAGCATGAACAAACTGTAAACAGCCCAGAACGCAGCAATCATGCTACCTAGCCACAGGCTGTACCACAGACTCAGAGTACAGACACCATTCACACCAACATCCATCACCTTCACCAAGAAACCAAACTCCTACCCTATCCCTAACACTAGTAACACAAGTTCACAACACCTCAAAGGCTCAAACTTCATGCCTCACAACTCAGACAACAGACAGAAACCACAAAACCCAACCCTAGTCTAGAAAAGTCCTATTTTTGTCTGAAATATCGCAGCTCTAATATCATATAATTTCAGTAGGTATGAAATCTCGCAACTCGAATGTCATAAATTTTTGTTTGATTAAAAAATCGTGGTTTGCACTTCGCAAACATGTCATTTCATAAAATTTTCAACTTCCGCAATCCGCATTGCTTTACCGCTGTCTCTTATACACATCTAGATGTGTATAAGAGACAGGGTAATGTAAACAAATAAACAAAACGTTTGTTGAAGATCGCGCATAGTTGCGGTCATGTCAAAGCGGTCAGACTGTATATTAACACGTGCTGAACTTACAGTAGAGACAAATTTTATTGTTGCCGTTTGACTGTTTAAGGGTAAAATTAGAGATTTGGGGTAACACGTGCATAAACTTTGTAAATAAATTCGCATTCGNAAAGTTTTCATGCTGACACTTGTGTGCCACTTTTTTCTAAGCAAAATTTTTAACCCTTTCGTAACAGTTATGCGTTTTACAAACTTTTATTGTTGTTTTTTTTTACAGAATTGCAGTAAATTAAGATTAAATATTAATGCATTTCTGTTGAAAAAAATAATTAAATATATGTTAATGGTAAAAATTCTATAAGCGGGACTTGAGAGTCCCGATAGTAAATGGTTGCAACTGAAGTGACAGATTTGTGACATTAGGCTGCAACAGTGTAGTTGCACTTTTGCTGTTATTTGTTGAAATGTATCCTTTACATTCAATGCTTGGCTCTACAGGCAAATTTGGAGTTTGGGATAATAGAAATTCATCATTATCGGCAACATATTTATTGTTATAAATAATAACTTTGCGAAAAAAATATTAATCTACTATACATAGTTTAGTAGTTGAATGACATATCACAAAGTTCCTTTGGATAATGTGTGCAATAGCTTATAATCTGTCTCTTATACACATCTAGATGTGTATAAGAGACAGACCCTGGACACATCACACTCGAAGTCGAAGATCGTTCAGCGTTACTTGAAATCTACAGACGATGTTGCCATTCCATTCAGATGAAAACTGTGTCTAAATCAGAACTGTGTTGGACGGCTCTGCGGCCCGCACCGAGTGCTGCGCGGCGTGATTTCGATGACCGTGATTTACGCGAACGCATGCGCGAAGAAAATTTAAATAACTATTTACATGCGGGAAATTTTCCCTTTTATATACATCTTCCTGAGTGTGGCACGCAGGTTACTGGCAGGAACCTTGCCTAACTTTGCACATACAAATCACTGCTACTTCTCTCATATCTAAATAAAATAGACCCTGCCACACACCCTTCTCCACTCTGCCTATCCAACACACAACACCATTCATCTTTTCTCCTGCGCTGAAATGCCCACATCCCTGTCGGTGGGTGTCTGGGTGACCTTTGGGCAGGGCAGACCCCGTAATCACCATGGGGCTGCTGGCCCGCTGGGGTGACCGACTTGGCTGGCCCCAGAACTGGGTTTGGAAGAGCAGCAAAAATTCTTCGTTGAGAGCAGAAGCATGTTGGTGGACATCGCCACTGCGCTGCACACTTCCACCCAGCGCTCCCAGGTACAGGCGTCGCAGAGGCCTTCTTGGTTTCTCTTCTTCCCTATTGACTTGCTTCAGGAACTTATTCAGGGCTCTGTAAACATGTGAAGCTCACTGAAGCTAATGTAACATTTACTTTTTCATTCGAAGTGACTGAGTATGGAGTGTAGAACCTGACTCTTATACAACGTCTTGTGAGATTTACGAAAGTCACGAAATTAAAGCAAGAGAATTATGAAGAATTACTTAATATTACTGGAATTAACAATTGATTGTATTAGATTTTTGCATCGAATTTATAAATATTCTATTGAAATCAAACAACCGATTGTATTTGATTTATGCTTCGAATATATAAATAGTCTCAGAAGCGAGTTGCTGTTCCTATAAGGTGTCTCTGTGGCAGGTGGTGCAGCCTCTGCTGGAGTCGTCATGCCGGAGGATCGAGACGCAGCTGGACTCCCTGATCGCGTCCCGTCTCCAGGCCCTCGCGTGTGCCAACCCAACACAGACGACGCAACCGAGCGACAGACTTGCCTTGACTTCGCCTTCATCGCCGGCGAAGAAAACTGAGAGCAACAAAATTGTAACGTCACCCGTGAGAGGCAGCCAAGTAGCGACACCCACGACCGACTGTCTTGATGGATCTAACTCGCCATCTCCAGAGGAACCCAAACTATCGACCAGCACGGACTTCTTGCAAGAAGTGATGAACGTGGTTGATACATCTTTATCCGAGTGCTCCTTAGCCAATGATGAACTCCCAAATGCTGAAGATAAGGAGCTGCATGGTACAACTCTTGAGAGAAGAATGCTCTCGAACTCGGCTCCGTTGAGTCCAGCATCAAAAAAATTTCTCGGCAGACTGCGAGACGAGTTCAAGGCATGATGACATACCCTGACTGTGTTGTGTTCAGGATGCTGCCTGTGATGTTGGTGGCCTTTCCATTAGGTTTAACATTCTTTGAAACTTTATAGTCAAATTAAGGAGACCTGCTAATTTTTAGTGTACAATAATTAGAGGTATGATGGAACTACTTATCGCAATTTAATTAGCTTTAAGAAGTAGTGTTTATAGAGTTCATTATAATATAGGTCTCGAGAATATTATGAATAAATTTCTACTTGATTTATTCATGCTCGATTGTGATCTCTCCAAAAAATGGTTAGCAACCAGTTATGCCCAGCTAAGCACCCAGCTCAGCAGGTTGTGGAGAAGCAAGCCATTGTTTCACCGATCGCTTTGTTTAACGAATTTCTTGAGCTCATACCACTTGGCCAGCAGCTCTCTCATGCTTATAGCTCACTTGCTCGACCTCAACCAAAAGCGAAACCATTTTCTTCTTTTAATGCGTTCATGTTGAAATTTGATCTGTCCTTAATTTTTGTCCCGACTTCAAATAGCTATGAAACATAATTGTACAGCTTTCAGCGCTCCTGGTCATGGTCCAGCGCTCATTTTGCAGTGACGGGAAGCTTATTTTCTTTCCTTAGGGTACGCACACAGTGAAAGCAGGTTTGCCTGTGCGGGCAACCTGCTCCAACCTGCCACAATAATGAACATAGGATAATAATATAAGTGTTCACAGTGAAAACCTGTACGAATAGGCTTTTTTATTCTATGGTTTCAGGCGCCAGTCTCAGCAGGTAACCAGCACGCTGGCAACCTGCTTTCACTGTGTGCGTAGCCTATGTCAGACCTTAATAAGGCAAACTGAGCAGCACTGCGGCTCTTTCTAGCACTTCGTGTACCGATGACGCCTCGCGTTCCCAAGCCATTCGGTACGAATAGCATTGACTTAGGTAAATGTATTCGTAGATGGAAGGTTAAGCCGTTGTGATATCGTCTGACGCGACAACGGCTCGTGGACGATTAAAGCTCGTGCTGCCGCCTGCAGTGTCACGGCGTAGCGCTGCCATCAATATGACACTCCAGACCCCAGATGGGCTTGAGGTGCATCGGTACCACAGAACCTGGTACTCACCAGGAGTCGCGGATCAGGGGCCATACTTTCAAAACACGCTAAGTGAACGTAAGTACTTACGCTCTATTTTCTTGTCTATGATTGTTGAATTTTGCTCGAAAGGCCGTCAATGATTGGCTAATGAACTTACGATCTCTTAACTTTTTTTGAAAGTACAGGCCCAGGTTACAGGCTATCCATTATCATTAGGGCCAGTATCGTAGACTAATAGCTTATTTGAATCTAAAAAATTTCATGGGAAATGAGTTTTTCTCATCTTAGTTATCCGATGGACCTGAAATTTAATTCCTACAGGTCAAATATGAGATGATATGATTGAAAAATTCGACATTGATGAATAAAATTTGTCTGAAAAGTTGCCAATTTGTATTTCCAGTTTTTGGAAGCATGAGTAAAATGGAGTTTATATTTATATATTTTATATAATCTTCAGTTATGGAAATATCAGGTTTAAAAAACCGCATCCCTTGTGTAATCAAGTCACGAAAAGTACGAGAATCGGCAACAGTCCATGGGCCTATTTCTTTGGTGCCGACACTTCTATTCTATTCTATATCTTCGTTACAAAATTTATGCTTCATTAATTTGCATGCATAAGCGTTATCATTACGGACGAGTGTAGGGATACTGTCAATTATGCTATTTGCATAATGTGTTTATGAAATTGCAGGGATTATCAAACCCTGACAACGCCAGGCTAACCTGCTACTTGACGACAGGTTGAAATTAAGGCGGTCTTCGCAATAAAATATCTGAAGGCAACCCAAGCTACCAAGTCTACATGGAAGGAGGTTCTGTTAGATCTGGAGGTTCCTTCACAATTGCTTGCCCGTTTTGTTATTCTATCAAATGTATGATTAAAATTAATTTCTATCCGGGCTGAGAAATTGAACGGACTTCAAATATCGCGATGGTCACGAGTAACCATCGTTCACGAACATGTGAACAATATTTCCAAGCCCGTATTGCAATTTGTGTGAAAATTAGGTAAAAACAATTTCAATTCAAACTAGGCCACAAGACTCACCCGTAAAACTTGAAGCAAGCTTCAGGTTCACGGTTTTTCACCGCGACATAAACTCTGCTCAATGCGCTTCTGTGCCTTGCTGAGAATTGAAAAAAAAAATCCTTATTATACGCTCCTGAGCCTCTTGTTACCTATTATTTACAAGACCAATGGCATTAAAATCATTTATACAGTGCCGGCCAGTGCAGAATAGTATCACCCACCGACATTTGTGATGGACAATATTGGGAGAAAGCCAATGCGGCCACATTCTGATGCTGATGGTAATGAGATAGAATATGGCGGCCAATATCAACTAGTGCCACCTACTGACATCAGTGATGGGAAAGAATGACGTGCTGAACTGCACTCTGGCCGCATGGGTCAATGAGGATGGAATGACGACACGGTATTGCCATAGCGACAAATATAGTGGCTTGAAATGCTCTGAACAATTTTCGATAAATGGGTTATAAATAATATAATAAATGACAGCCAGCTCAGCTCCAGAATAATCGGCAATACTCAGATAAATGAAAATTTTACACTTCATACATTAATTTGTTTCGTTAACAATTTAAAAAAAAAAATCTATAATATTCCATTCCAAGACACATCCTCTGAATGTATTACAACTACCGGTACCCAGTGAAAATTTGCAGACGCGCCAGCTTCTGATTTGGATTACCAGAAGCTTGGGCGACTTTAAATTTTGTTGGGGTAAAGGCTCTGAAGAGGAAGAAATAGATAGTTATAGAATAGATAGAACGTCTATCATGTTCCCAAGCTATAAAGTGGCGAAATTCTTATTAAATATAGTTTTAGGTTTCATTCATTGATCATTTAAGCTGGTGCATCTCGTTTACAACGTTAGAGCAACTTATTTTCGTAATAATTTTAAAATATTCAGAAAAAAAAAACATTTATATCTACTAAGCGCATTTTGAAATAAATATTGAATGCAGCAACAACGTTTAAACCAGGTTGTTTTGTGTGTTTGCCTTCACAGATTGTTCAAATAAAATGAAAATCTACTAATCCCCATCTTTAGATGCCTTAATTGTAGATAAGTTATGGGGTAGGCAATCAGGTGGCTCAAATTTTTTTAACTTTCTAAAACGCTCGGGAAACGTAGAAATCATGGGAGAAATCACGTACAGACACGTTCATTGTCGTTGGTTGACTTCTCTGCATTCGCTCTTCTGAGAGTACAGGCTTATTTTTATTATTTTTTTTGGCAAAATAGAATCGAAGTGTTTGAACCTTGAAAGGCAATTAGAGGTTTGTTTTCCACTACTCTTTTTGGTATTGCTTTGCTCAAATAGAATCACCGGATTCTGTGAAATGTGGGATTTTCCGCTAAACAGGAATAATGACAATAATACTGCGTGCGCGCGATCAATCAATTGAAGGATTCCGGTTGAATTCATCTATAGATTTTTCTAAATTTAGGGTTTCGGGAGTGACGATTTGGAATTCTTGCTGATCAAAAAGTGGAGTGTGAAAAATTTACGCTTTCCCTTTACCACGTATTACTGATATTCATTATAAAATCTTGAAGTTCTAAATTGAAAGGTTTCATGTGGAAAAACAAAAGAAACCCAAATCTGGGAACAAAACCCCCAGATAGCCAACCGGCAGCGGCAGGAATGTCCAAGATAAAAGGAAATGAACTTGAACCCTGCCCTTCATCAGCACCAGAGAGAACTACCGCAACAAAGACAAAAATACCTGAAGACAGAAAAGGAGATTCATTACCAAAACGCAAGCGTCATCAGGCAAAGACATCTGACTATCCTGGAACANTCCACAAAACTGTTCTGTAGTACAACTTTTCCTCTCGAATATTTCTGCCTGCATGAACGTTCGTTCACGGCAATTCAACTGTTGAGTGAATGATGATCTATCGACGCGCCGCGAGCCCAGACCTTCAGCTATAGAAGAATCTAGCTTTTAAAATTGGAACATAATAAATATATATGCGATATATATACGGAAAAGTAGATAAAATATATTTTATCTGAGAAATAAAATTTAACTTCCAGCAACGTAATAAAAAATTTGAATCATTGATTAAACGAATTCGGGAACGAATTAATCTTTAGTTTGATCTCATTTTTAATTTACATCAATTTCCTGATTTATTCTTCGGATCACATCTTTAGTGAAGACTATAAACTCGTTAAAGATATCATATCTGACAATTTTTTTATGCGGCAACGATTGAACGTCACAGTTCTGAGGTGTTGGAGCTCCGTGAAACATTTTCCTCATATAATTACTATAATTCATTAACTTGGTGTAATTATTCAATTCATGTAATATTCATGTCGTATCAACAGGCGTAAAGAGAAAACAATTCATCGCTTAATTTGTTAACGCTTGATCTGTAATTTTTGTAGAAATTGCGGTGCGAGATTGGATTTATTTTAAAGATGGTTTATTTTAAATTTTATTTTAAAGATCCAACAACGCCTGGACCTGATAATTGGAGAAGGATCAAGTGAAACTTTAATAATGTTCTACTGGTCGGTCGTTGAGTCTGGTTTACTTGATTTTTTTTCAAACACACAATTGACATTTTTCTTTTTCCAAGCTAGTTTGGCATGAAGTCGACATAGGAAGCATGAGAGTCTGGTAAACCACGAAGTATCTTCCACAATACGTCCATTTTCCAATAGGATTTCGATGCAATATTTTACCTATTAGTTCATTTGTATCGTGATGCCTAACGCTCGCTGTGGTTGTGAAGGTTCATAGCCAGATACCTTATACCGTCTTTAATGATTGATGTTTATTATTATACGTATGTGTGCATTTCATGCTATTTATTTCAGTTTTGATTATTTTCTCTTGAGTATGATTATGTATGTAGATAATTGGAAATAATTTCTGCCGGGTATGTAATTTTGTCCCTGTGCTGTGAAGTGAGTAAGTGGAACTTACAACCGAGTCGAGTTCTGAGCCTGGGTTGCATTCCATAACAACTGTCTCTTATACACATCTAGATGTGTATAAGAGACAGGTTCTGCCACCACCCTCCATTGAATTATCCCGCCTTTTTTCTAAAATTCAATAATCTCTCTTCCAGCAAAGTTTGCGAAATTCATTAGCTGCATAAAATACTCTCTGCTGTGGTGTT